AAAACTCTGGAGCTGCAAGTTATGAGCGGCATGTGGCATGTGGCACATGAGGCTGCAGTTTGTCACTCTTCAGGCAAATTATGCGTTTTGCATGTGATTAATTTTATTTTGGTTACAGACATGATCTACGGCTCGTTGTGCGCATTCAGGCGTGCAGGCACTTCCGCCCTTCGGCGTATCCATTCGAGCCATTGTCTAGAAGCAGAACGCAACACTTTCGTTTTTATAGCTCAACAGAGCATCGATTGTTGGCAACAATTAAAGCCAATTGCGAGGCATGTTGACCTTTTCACAGGTGTTGGTTCAGGTCTAAGTCGCAGTCGCACTCACAAACGGTGCATGTAGCCGGCTCACACGCCCAAGTCGATGCCAAATGCCACAGCAGCAACAACAACAACTTGAACAATGACAACAACTTCAAGTGCCTGGCAAGGCGACCTTCAGCCTCGTTTATGTATTTTATTTAAGTATTGTATTTTCCCAAGCTGCGCAGTTTTTCCAAACGTATGCGGAAAAGATTAACAAGATTTGCATAAAATGCGAGCAATTCTGTCTATTTTTTTGCTCTACATTTTGGCCAAGTTTTCCCACAGCTAATTAAGTTATGTGTCGCAGTTTTGTTGCTGGCCGCAAAACCAATGTAATTCGTTATAGAATTTAGTTAAAGAGCAGCGTTCAAGTAGAAAACTCTGGAGCAGCCAGAGCTGATGCAACATTGTCAAGCCTGCCGACATAAATCGGCCGCATTATGCAATCCAACTGGCCCCACCAGATTTGGCCAGGAGACGCATCGACGCATCGCGGCATCGCGAGTGTCGACAGAGATTTTATTTGATTTAATTTTTTTCTTTTGGCGCACGAAACTGAAACAACTTTTTTGTGCAGCTCTCCCCCCGCGCTGTTTGGTGCCAAAATGCCTTACGATTGCCATATACGTATATGGGACTCTTAAAAACACTTCCTGCTGCTGCTGCCGCTGCTGCCTCTGCTGCTGCATTGGTCAAATGTGGTCGAAATCTGGTCGTAAACTGGATTACAAGTGCGCCCCAGAGACACCACAGAAGGCACACACGGCTGGAGTTCAGTGTGTGGTGCGGAGGTTTCCTTCCTTATGTCTTGGATTTGAGTTGGCTAAACATTTACTTAACCATCTTGTTTGTTGTCTCACTCTAATATGGGGCATGCTTGGCCCAAGCTGTTTGCTTTGCCACATCTTTTCGTAGATTACCTTTAAAGGAGTGGAATTCTGGCATTTGTTTCCTTGGCAGCAATTGTAAGCAAAATACATACATAATACATATCGAAAATACATAAAAAATAGTTAAGAAATAAACCAAATATCTTTTGATAGTTCCATGTACTTAAAGCTAATTATAAGTTAAGTATTCTATAAGGTTTTTAGGTTTTTTATCTTAAAATCATTTAGAATTCTTACCGAACAGTTTCTTATGTAGCATTAACTTGTTAGGGTATTCCAATTTCAATAATCGCTCGTTTCTGGTCATTTTTCACTTTGCTTGCTGCAATTAAAATTTTGTAATATGGCCAACAACAACAACAGCAAATAAACTGTGGCAAAACATTTGCTTTGAGCGTAAACGGTGGCATGGAATGTCTGTTTTGTCGGGCAACAAATAATTGAAGCGCTTTCAAAATGATTTTCAATTTCACTGCATAATACAAGAGTGCGATAGAGTATGATATGCTAAAGCATAGGCCTTGTGCCAGTGCCGCCAATTTATGCCTGTGTGTGTGTGTGTGTGTGCGCGCGCAATTAATAATTATGCATGTGGCGTATTAAACAGCCTTAGAAACAGTCGAAGAGTCCAAATGAAATTGAAAACAAATCGAAAACCCATCACCAGCCGAGGGGGGTCAACAATAACAAAATATATCTGCTTAATTTCACTTTCCTTTCCCTAGTTGGTGCAGCGACTGCATTGCATTTCAATTTACCTTTTTATTATTTTTTATTTTTTTGTAGGTTTTTCATTTTTGGAGTGGTCTTCAATCCATGGACTTGATAATTGTTAGTAGGTTCCACAAGGTGTGAACCAAGTGGACTGCCAACTGGAAATGGAACTGCAGCTGGGAACTGGGAACTGGGAACTGTTGACTGCCCGTCACTTACAGCGAAAGCTAATAACTGCGTGTGTGTGTGTGTTCGTTTTGGGCAAATAATTAAAACTCGATGAGAAGCATTAAAGCTACTGAAATTTCACTGCCAAAAAGCAAAATGTAATTACGAATTACGTGCCTGCCGGAAATTGAAATTCGCAATGACAATTGCTGTCTGCCTGTCTCTCTGTCGGGCAATCTATACTCGATACTATATAGTTATACTGCCACAGATCAACGTTACGGCATGCGCAGAAGAAGAAGAAGAAGAATAAACAGATAGAGAGAAAAGTCACGCAAATTCATTAACATGAATGCGATATAATTCGTGATCGGGTCAAGAAACTGTTTACTCTGCCCACGATGTGGGCTTGGCTCCGTTCGCATTAGGCCCTAATCTCGGCCAGTTTGTTGGCAAATAATGCCCATAATTTCAATTTGCATTTCAATTTAAAGCGCCCAACTCCAATCTGCCAGCTCCGTGTCGCTGTCAATCTCAAGTGCACCGCGCTGCGTTGCGCTGTGCTGCCCGCCGCTGGCGAGTGAAACTATTTCTGTTGGTCTATAACCATGCTTCGAGTGCGCATCTATTTTGACATTACTTTGCATGGAAATTAGTAGCAGCAACAACAGCCGCAACGGCAACAACATGCTTAACAACAAGCCGCAGCGCGGACTCGCCTAATGAGCAGCGCACAACACACAACACTGCGTATACGCGATGTGATCTCTTGCGGAGCACCTAGCGCTTGTCCAAGCCCTGCTTTCTGCGGTCATATGGCGCACTTCATGCACATAGGTTTTGCGCATTAATGCGTTGCTCTTGTTAAATATATATATACCCTGTATACGCTTGACAAGGGGTATAACAAAAGACGTAAGGCGCGCTTTTTTTTCTGATACGCCATATCTATGGGAAAAGTGAATCAATATTAATTGCAAATGAAAAAATTATAACTTGATAAGGAAAAAAGTGTTCACTTGATTCTTTTAAATTAATGTTTTTATTCCTAGAATCGTTTGCATACATACTAATTTTAAATTATCAGCAAATTAAAAATGTAATAAACCTAATTAGAAAAATTTGTGCAATTTAGTATTTATTTCAATTCAATGCAGAATTTCATATACAAAATACATTTTTATTAGCCTTAAATTTTCCTTCACAATTTATCAATTTACAGGGTAGCAATGGGTCGTTGCTCGACCGTTGTGAGCATTCTTAATTGTTGCTGTTTGTTTAGTGTAAATTGTTTAAAAACGCGCTCTCACTCTGTCATTTGTTGTTGTAGCTGATGTCGATGTCGATGTTGTTAATGTTAATGTGAATGCTGTTGTTGTTGTGGTTGATGTTATTGTTGCTGGTAATGTTAATCATACGCTGAATTGCACTTTATGCGTGTGTTAGATAAGAAGGTGTTGTAGCTGTTGCCGTCCGTTGTCAACTGTCAGCCTGACAAGTGCTGTGCCCCGCTTATGCAATAGGATGTTCGTCCCCGTTTTTGCTGAACACTGTAGTCGAAAAACTCCTCAATCGAATTCCACTTGTGTAGCTTTTGTAGCCGCAGCTACCCACCCACACCCTGGTGCTGCAGACACGCTGACACAGATGTCAAAATACTGCGAGGCAATATGACAAAATCATTGCGGTAGACTAGCTGCAAGATCGGGTCAGAGGCAGACTCCTCAATCTGTGCGAAGCAGGTTCTCTGGCTGGCGAAATCGTGTTAGTGGCTTTTTGATAAAGCATAACGACGCCGACAGCGACGCCGGCAGCGGCGCTGGCGTTGCATAAGCGGCACGTAAAGTGGCCGAAATTTGCGAAACGCAGCCCCAGTTGCAATTTCATGCATGCCGACTTTATGGCCTGGGCACAAACAACTGACAACAACAACAACAACCATTAACAACCGTAAACAACAACAACAACAATAAGCATAACCAAATGATCAACAGCTCGTAGACTCGATATTTCCAATTGGCGCATCTGGTGGGAAAGTTATCAAATCGAATACGATACAAAAAAAAAAAAAAAAAATGGTAAAAGAAATGAAATATATATGCGCAATTGTATTTGTATTTATTGTACTAACAACTATTGGGCAAAAAGTGTGAAGGGCAAATATTGGTAACGAGGGTTCGCGTACGATTTAGGTTTTTGCAAACATTTGGAAATTGCGCGTGCGCTTCAAGTTATGCACGACATTTGACGTAACTTTGCATAGCCAAAGGGCAAAAATAAAAGAATGGAATATAGCGAGAATATATGTAGTTAAATTCGAATAGAGGAGCAAACACATTGATAAACAGAGCAAACCAGTTCAAGTTCAATTGATAAAATGAACCAATTGACGCTCCATAAGCGCACTCAGAAAAGTGTGGCAAACGATAATTGAATACATATGGCTGCGCCATAAATCAGTTCATAAGATAAAAACAACGAGAACATAATGGAATAATGCTGATATCAGCTGAAGCTTTAACTATTTGCAAGCTGTCGAGCTTTTGACTTGCGCACAGTTTGAGCAGCGCTGGCTGCACAGCTTTTGCCAAACTATACGCACACACACGCGCACGCCCACTTTACGCCATGCCCCCAAACAACAGCCGATGTCGTCGCAGCTAAAAGATAAGTCGCCAGCGCGTGTTATTTAATTAGAATAAATAAAACTAAACAAGAAAATATACTTCCAGTCAGAGCTTTTGCTCTCCGTAAGTCTTATTGGCGCTTACTCTCACCGAGAGCGCGCGTTTCGATCTATCAGAGTTGCCGGCGCGCCCAAAGCGGCCACAAATCCGGTTTCTCTACGCACTTGACTGCCAGTTGGCAAGCCTGGCGCTGTGGCGTGAGCACGCGCTGGAAAGAAGCCGCACTACGTGACAGTCAACGTCGTCCATTGAGCAGGGTGTGCGCTCAGTGTGCTTTTGGCAGTGGTCCGATCGCGTAGGACCTTTAGCAGTTGAGATTTCTCGTTCGTTTCTGTTCGCTACAGGTGGGTGTGTTCTTTAATGGCGGAAGGGGGGCGGGTGTGCACAAAACGCTTACATAACACAATCTTTAAATTTATTAAACAGCCTGCAGCCAGTTAACATGTCGCTTCGCATTGTGTCGCAGTCCCTGTTCAACGCCTGGAGCCAGACCCTGGTGCGTGGCATGTCCACGCAGGGTGGCTCCAAAAACATCGGCTTCGTCGGCCTGGGCAACATGGGCGGCCACATGGCCAGCAACCTGATCAAGGCCGGCCACAAGCTGCATGTCTTCGATATCTCGAAGCCCGCCTGCGACAGCCTGAAGGCCAAGGGCGCCACGGTGTACTCCAAGACTGCGGAGCTGGCCCAAAACTCGGACTTCGTGATCACCATGCTGCCCAACAATGACATTGTGGACGCCTCGTACGAGGAGATGACCGCCAATGGCGTCAACAAGAACACCATCTTTATTGACTCCTCCACCATTGATCCCAATCTGGTCAAGTCGCTGCAGAAGCGCATCAGCGCCAAGGGCGCACGCTTCATTGATGCTCCCGTCTCTGGCGGCGTGCCCGGCGCCGAGCAGGCCACGTTGACCTTCATGGTGGGCGGCACCGAGGCGGAGTACAATGCGGTTAAGGCTGTGCTCGAGTGCATGGGCAAACGCATCACACACTGCGGCGACTATGGCATGGGCCAGGCCGCCAAGTTGGCCAACAACATGATGCTGGCCATCTCCATGATTGGCGTCTCTGAGGCCATGAATCTGGCCATGCGCCTGGGCCTGAATCCCAAGACTTTCGCTGAGATCATCAACTCGTCCACCGGCCGCTGCTGGGCCTCCGAGGTGTACAATCCCGTGCCCGGCGTCTCGCCGACCGCACCAGCCAACAACTCATACAAGGGTGGCTTCTCCACAGATCTGATTACCAAGGATTTGGGTCTAGCCTCGGGCGTGGCCACCGCCTCCAACACGCCCATTCCCATGGGCGCCCTGGCCCACCAGATCTACCGCACGCTCAAGTCACAGGGACTGGGCAACAAGGACTTCTCCGTGGTCTACGACTTCATGAAGAACGACAAATACTAAGCAGCTGCCCGAGGATAGCTCTTGACGGGCTTCCGCCCACCAGTTTTGCATTTATAGCGCACTAAGTTAAGCAGTCCAATTGGGATTCAATGTGTTGGCGCCTTTTAGGGCTTCTCGAGTTCCAATTTTGATATACATATATATATATGAATTTGTGCTAAATATATATTAAAGTTGTATTTATACAATGTATTTTCATAAATATCTGTGTTTATCTTATTGTGTGGAAAAGTTTTCGATTGCATAACGATTGGCGAATTCAAGTGGAACTGTCATCTGATAAGCATATTAAATACAGCTGTTTGGATTCTAGTTGGCTTCTGGCTGGATTCTAGTTGGTCACGAATTTATGATCGACATTTCATTTCCAGCACGAGCTGTGAGCTTTTGCGCTTCCAGTGGACGGCGTGCGGTATTCATTTGTAAAAATGAAAGTAATTGAAAGCTTTTTTGCAAGTAAACAGAAATTCGAGCAAAACAAACGGCAATAAAGACAATGAAAGCGCAAAGAACGCGATGTAACATAAATGAAAGCACACAGTTTGAGAGTGACCAACTTACAGTTTGACAGCCTTCGAAAAGTAACTTCAAATAAAACGCTTTTGTTGTTGTTTTGAGCGAAATCCAAAAATATTTTGTTTTTTATTTGGTTGTCGTATTTTGAAAAATAATTAACAAACTTAACTTACGTGCTATTTAATTAATGTTAATTAATTAGGATTTGTATGTATATAAAAACTTTGTTGCTGGAGTATAAAATAGTTTCGACTATCTAATTAATTGTTTCTCATGGATTTCTCGGAGTTGTTTGGATTGCAATTCATATGGCAACCTATGTACTAGGTAATTGTTGATCAATCAAATTACAATAATTATTTAAATAGATCTATCATATATGAGTAAGTATAGTTAGGTATGCATATAAAAAGCCTTAAATTAAATTGAGGGCAATCAATTAGACTAAAAATACATAAATACATTCATATCGTAGGGTAACTTCAGAAGTAAAGGTATTCAAATATTTTTATCTGTATATATATATATATGTTTATATATAGGTAAGTATTCTCATATATTTTGGATAAGCCACATAGTACTTCTAGTTTGAATTCTTTGAAAAATATCACAAATTGAAATATACAATAAATAATTAATTCATATTCATACGATTGCAAAGGAATTGCGCGGGTAGCGTTTTGGTAATCTTCTTGGTAAATACAAATAGATGTTCAAAAATAATTTTAGGTACTGGTTCTATATAGTATATATAAGTAAAATGTAAGTACATGCTTTATAAAGTACAATGTGCTGTTGGTGTATTTACATAACTGAACCAAATAGTTTTGCTCAGTGTATATCCATCAAGTGTAAATAGTTTGATTCGATTTTAAGCTGAGATAAAAATATGAATGTTGCCTAAAATATTCGAATACTCGTTCACAACTAAACGAGTATATTGACTACTCGTCTGTCTGACTTGAAAGTTGGTTTGCTTATACTCGAGAATCTATATTCTATATATATATTCGACAGCTTTAGAAGTTAAGTATAGATATTTGGTATAGAGACTATTGAGGAGTTGCTCTAGAGATTATTTAGAATTAATTGGGTTTCTTTCACGGAGTTATTCGACTGTGAACGAGCATTAAGCAGTCGGTTACACCCGACAGCAAGATTTATACTTATGTTTTTTTTGAAGCTCTTAATTTAAGCAAAAACTTTGGTGCATTTAGTTAAAGTTGCGTCTGCGATGTTGCTTAAGTGCCGTTAATTTGTATACTAAGTGGACTAATCGCCTTGGCTTAGACTAAGGCTCTTGGCCTGGCCAAACTTGTGCTTCAGCTGGCTGGTATTGGCGCGGAAGCGTGTGGTCATCTGCTGCATCAGATGCTGTGGACCAGTTGCGCTGTGGTGCAGCGGTGCCACCAGCACCGAATCAGCGCTGGTTATGGACTATGAGCCCTTGAGTTTCTTCTTGGGATTGTTGCGTGCCTGGTCAGTGGTCGCCGACGGCGGCAGCTCCCTGTACTGGTTCTGCAAGACAAATCCGATTAGACTGATTAAATTTATTTAATTGGCATCACTTACAATCTCCTCATTGTCGGGCACGCGTGATAGGAAGTCCAGCAGCTCGTTGTTCGGTATGGTGTTGGGGCGCAGCAGGCGCCGCGAGAACTTCATGAAGCCCCAGAAGAGCAGCAGCCAGCGCAGCGGCACGAAATGCAGCACGAATATGGCGCTCAGCAGCAGCACCACCGCCAGCCAGGTCAGTTCAGGGACGGAAAAGTTAAATGTGCTGCAAGGAAAGTTAGCATGAGCGAAAGCATGAGCTGAGCACCACTTGGTCTATGGCTGTCACCCACTTGATGGTGCTCTCGCCGAGGGAGGCCAGATAGCCGATCGTGTTTTGTACGGTCTGAGAGACCTCCTGTATGGCCTGGAGTCGCTCCTTAATTGACTTTTTCTCCTCCTTCTCCTTGTCATCATCGTCGTCCTCGTCGTACTCGTAATCATAGTGGCCCGCATTGGCGTCTGTTGTGCCTGTGATGAGCCTAATGAGCCACTTTCTGCAATTCAAAGGAACTCGAGTTTAACTTGAATTTATTACGGATCTGGGACATACTTCAGTATGATGAGCAGCAGCACCAGCGGCACCGTCTCCAGATCGCCATAGACGCAGGCAACAATCCACAGCACGAAGGCAATGATCGAGCGCACGGGCGATTCCCACTCGAAGCAGCTCCTGTAAGAGAAGGCGAATGAGTAGGAGAAAGAGAGAGAATGATCAGCTGCCACGCTCCACTCAGAGCGGACTACTCACTGGACATAACGTGCCGCCTCCAGTATATCCATTATAATCTGCTTGAGGCGATTGACATTGCGCAGGAAGAGCTGTCGCTTGAACTTGGCCTCCTGCTGGATGAGCTTCTCTTCCTTGGGCTGCAGGGCGCGACACACTGCCCTGACCTCGTTCCAGATCACAATCAGCTCCAGCTGTATCTGCGGCGAGTTGCCCTTGGCGCGCACGCACAGATTCTTATCCTTGAGCGTGTACCAGCGCTTGACTCCGCTCTTGATGCGCAGCAGGGGAATCACGAGCTTGCCCAGGAACTCCACACGATGATCGCGATCCTCATCATATACTGTAACCTCCAGCACCTGGGTGATATCCTTGATATTGCTGTGAAGCGAGAGGAGTTGAGCTACTTTCAATTTGTGCAGTATGGATGTCACCTACAAGGTAAAGATCTTATTCCAGCTGGGCGTCAGCGTCTTGTACTCGGTTTGCGTCTGGAGACGCGCATTGCCCAGCTCCAGCACGCAGAAGGGATCCGATTTGCCGCCTATATCGGCCGCTGCCAAGCCCGTGGCGCCAAACACCTTGACCGTGAGATGACCCACATCACGTAGATTTTGCAGACTGCGCAGAAAGCGATACCGTTCGCGCAGGAGCTGGGTCTCGCGCGGATCCTCCTTAAACGCCTTCAGGTCGCTAATCGTCTCAAGGGCCGTGGTGCCGCTTATGGTGAGCATGAGGAAGACCTCGCCGGAACAATCCTCCAATGGCTTCCAGATGCCATGTGTGGTCTCGCGCTGGAAGACGCTCAGATCAATGTTGGCCTTGCCGTACAGCGTATTGCGATTCCAGAGAGCCAGCTCCAGATTCTGATCCTCATCGAACAGATGCAAATCGAACTGCTCCAGCCAGCGCTCCGTCCAGGAAGACTTGCTCTTGTACTTCTCATTGCCCAATCTGTGGCCAGAGTTCTAGATGGTTCACGCTCTTCATTACTCTAGTCTCAATTACTCACCTGAACTTGAAGTGTATGTCGATGAGCTTGCTGCCATCCTCAGCAAGCGGCAGATCTTTGGCCTTGACCAGAAGTATTGTCACCACGGAGCTCCAGATTTGCGACTTAAGACGCTTCGATGACTCAGCTAGTTTGGAATTGCGTTGAAAGTGCTGTAAGATGTAATGGAAAGCTGTAATTGAAACCCGTTCACAACATCCAAAGTGCATTTCGAGTTGACCTCCTTTAGTTCCTCGCAGCCCAGCTCCAGCTGCTCACGTAGCTCGCTGTGCTGCTGGCGCAGCCTCTTGAGCAACATGCGCGGCGCAACCCGGTAAATTGGACCAGGCCAATCCATAATCCGCACAACCAATGCACAACAACTGGCAGACACACACACGCACCTCACAAATCAAAGTCCCACTTCGCAAACGAAGCAACGCGCAATGACTAAAGCCAATTCGTTGGCGTCGCGCTCTCGACTTTAGACTGAGTCAATGAATTCTCTAACCTTGAAGTGGGCATATACACTTATACATGCACTTTGCCACACTACGTGCAAAGCGTCGGCTCTGAGACTGGGCTGAGACCGAGGCGCTGATAAGCAGCGACTGCCTGCAATTGGTGTCAAGCAACCTCCAACTTTGTACACTGAACTTAGTTGTCGGCAAGAGCCCATCAATTGCGTACTATCAGTATAAATATGCACATATGTATATAACAATTAATTTCATGAACAAATTTTCAAGAGGTTACCTTACGGAGCCTAAAAAGTAAGCATTAAATTCGTTCAAATAAAAGATAAGGAAATTTGCATAACAGGGCAAAACATATGTGATAATTAGAAACAAGTAAGAGGTTCTAGTCGGGAGCTACCGATTAGGGGATACCATGAACCCTCTTCTTCCAACATCAAATGCATATATATATTCTATTTTAGAAGCAACATATCATGTTTCGTGACTCTAGCTCTTATTGTTTACCAAAATTGCCCAAAAAACAGGATATCGATATCGTATTTATCGATTGCTTGAAAACTGAGTAAGTTATCGATTATCGGAAACAAACTTGATTCGCGCAGGCACTAACTACATCTAAAATTTCAAGTCTATGGTTCTTATATGTTCCGCGCGAAGTTATGTCGTTTTGGAACGTCATATCTCCGCGGGGAGTTATGTCGTTTTGGAACGTCATATCTCCGGGGGGAGTTATGTCGTTTTGGAACGTCATATCTCCGCGGGGAGTTATGTCGTTTTGGACAGTCATATTTCGCGGGGAGTTATGTCGTTTTGGAACGTCATATCTCCGCGGGGAGTTATGTCGTTTTGGACAGTCATATTTCGCGGGGAGTTATGTC